AATGATCACTAAGCGGCGACACAGAAGCTGACCAATCCGACACAGTCAAATGCTTTGACCATGTCAGATCGATACAGGATCGTTCTCTTGTGCCACGGGCATACGTGATCTAACCAGGGGTGTTAACCAAGGTGAGTCCCGCATCCGTGCACAGTTCTAAAAATTCTGCAGCAACCTCGCTTGGAGAAGTCTCCAAGAATGGCTCCCACTGTGGGTGATGCATGTTGAAATCCCCGCACAGCAGGAGCGGCGACGAGGCTGGAAGGCAGTTTACTAACCGCCTGAAGGATTGCGTTACTTGCGGTGGTGGTCTCATATAGGCACTCGCAACAATAAGATCACGGTTCTGGTCCAGAGCAGCCTGGACCACCACCACTTCAAGGCTGGTGTCATGCTGGGGGATGGTGAGGGGTATACGCTTGGAGCGGAGAGTTTTCCGCACCAGCACCGCCACACCGCCTCCCTTGCCGATGCGCGACTGTGCATAGAGCACATAATCTCCAGTGTGCATGCTGGCGATCTGCTCTGACGACTTCCAAGTCTCCTGAATGGCTATTATGTCTGCTCCTTGCGCCATTAATGTTGCGAGTTTTGACGGCGTGGGGCAAGAAACGTTCATCTGGAGTACTGCTATGGGGCCTGGGTTCTGCTCAATGTCTCCGCTTAGCAGTAGCTTTTGTCGTTGCGCGTCACATACGGCACGCAAACGGTATGTATAGCGCTGATAAGCGCCGATGGAATTCAGCAGCGGATAGAAATACCGCTCCGCGGGCAGCCATGTAAATGGCTGCATCTGGTCCCTTCCGACCCGTTTGTGCGGCGCCTCCTGCCTCTCCGCGGGCAGCGGATGGGCAGCAGGCGCTTAGCTTCCTCTCTAGCAAAGAGTACTAGACCCTGGTACCACGTTGAGGTGGCCGGCTGAGCCAGGGATGCCTGCATTTCGTTCAATGCTCCTTTATCACGGATATACTTCGTGGGGTCCTTGAAAAACTCCTCCGGCAAGACATCCCGATTGGTGTCCACAACGCCCCTGCCGTCCAGTTCCCTCGTAAGAAAGTCGTTCATCTTCATTTCATTGACGCGAACTCTTCCCTTAAACAGTACCTCTTCGATATTAGTGGAAATGGTAAATTTCATTTCCTGCGTTCCTCTCAGCCTTTCCCCTGCCTCCCGCCTCGCTTCTGTCAGTACCTGCGTGAGTACCCCGTTTGTTTTTCCCCCTGAAAGAGGAGTGATCGTATCCTTTTCATTCATAGTCCCACGTTGCCCGAGAGAGAGCACACCTTCGTGAAGAGGCCTAGTAATGGCCTCCAGCGCCTTGTACGCAGTCAAGTTCAGAATTTCTTCAAGAAGCCGCTGGTCTTGTGCGTAACCATCCGGCTCCTGAACAAACACCTCCATCGTCACATTGTAGTCTTTCAACAACGGCCGCCCTGCCGCCAACATAATTCCAAAGGAAATCGCTCAGCCTCATGTTGGTGCTGCTCATGGTCCGCTGCGGCCACACGTTACTCCCCGCCACATGTCGAGCCGCAGCGTCGGAGCCATCACAAGAGCCGCTGCAAGGTGCCATCACAAAAACCGTGCGGTGAAGCATCCCACTCGCACCACGCAACTGCGGCCAGCAGGTGCCGCTGGCTCCAAAGGACAGTCGCGGCTGTTTCCTCCCGCAGTCCAAATGGCGTTGGGCGTGGCACTCGCACGGCGGGGCGGTCGGCACGCCATGCAGCCGCACTGCAACGCCTGTCGGTGAAGCAGCCGAGGCATGCAACCAACCACAACACCGCCACATTATATCGTCCTTTTTTCTATTTTATTTTATTTTATTCACGTTGTCGGTCTGTTTGCCTCATCACTAACACCAAAAATAAGTGCACACCTTCAAAAAGGGAAGAAACAAAGAGAAAAGGAGGCACGATCCCACCGTACCGATGCAACTCAGCACCCTCCTCCATCCACCACCATCGCCGCACAGGAGACCGCAGTCACATCGGAGAGTCAACACCACAATGTGCACCGCACCACCGTGCAGTGAACAATGGGCGAGACGCGGCCATGCATCGCCCGCTCCATTTTCCCACCTCTCAATTCTTGCCTGCCCGCACAAGGCGGCAAACACAATCAGAGTGCACACAAACCCAACAATCCCCTCACTCGCTAAACCAAATCATTCGCACGGAGTGACAGCATTTGGGGACACACCAGCAGTAGCAGGCTGCATGGAATTTCCCTGTCAACCCTGCAAAGACACAACAACTCTGCGGAGTCAAAGTGACAGCCCCGCGGTGCTGCCCGCAGTCCACATGACAGGAAGAATTCCACGCACGCATATTTCCAAATCCCGCGCCGCTTGAGTGCCCAACAGAGCGTAAAAAAATACGAGTGCAAGACGGCATTTAAGCACGTGAAAAGGTCGGCCTGTTTTGTTTGATGGTGTTGGCGAGCAGTCCCACACAATCCAACCAAAATGACACGCCGGAAAGGATGGCGTCAGTTAATAATAAAAATAATTGCGTCAATACAAAAAGCTGAAATTTGAGTTTTACACCCGAATCCGGGGGCGGCAGCGGAATGAGAGTGTGCATGTGCGCAGGGCCTTTCGTGGGACGGTGCTGTCCAATCCCGCCGTGCCCCGACACAAAAGGGCGACAAAAAAAAGGGAGCACACTCTCCAGAAAAGGAGTGACGGTTGGGCACTCAACCCCCGCTTCGTCCTACACGACATCCACATATGTGCACTCCGCCTCAAATACGTACCTCCCCGGACGCCGCATAAATGACGTGTGGTTTGTTCACTCGCAATGTGTTTTTCCTCCCGCAATCAACAAAAAAAGGATGGCCATGGCGCAGCTCCACTCAGGGAGGCAAATCGGGGCAAACACGGGTGGAAGCCAGAGATCATACAAAATAATAATAAAAGAGGGGCAGGGCAATAACTCCTCCAAGCCTCGGAATCGTGCAATGTGCATCCCTCTTCTTCTAAATTGAAGACCTCTTCAACAGAAATAATGCAACAGACACATGTGCCGCGCAATATCTTTCGCTGCCCCGCGTCCCATCTTACTTCCCATGAGTGCCACGGCGGTGGTTGCGTTACATCGGGGATGACCCAAAAATATCAGGCAGCATGCTGTGGAGAGTGGATGCTTGCCGAACGTTCCCGCGTTAGTGTCTAACTGGAAATGACATCAATATATATATATATATATATATATATATATACCCGCGACTCAAGCTACCCGTGTGTGGCCGTCCTAAAGCAAACACCGAGACACATGTGGAGCAACGTAAAAAGAAAAAAAGAAAAAGGAAGAAATAGTGAAATAATCCACAGAAGTACATCGATACATATATGCATACACAAAGTGATACATCAATCCGCATAACTCTTCGTTCTTTCTCTCGTTGTTCCTTCTACACAACACCAGAAGTATAAAGAGCGGCAGGCATGCCCTCCCACACAGTCATCGTGGAACAGGAGGGAGAGTCACTGCAGGCACCCGCACAAGAATAGAAACAAACCAACAATCAATGACGCTGTCGGGGCGGAGTCCGATGGGTGGCTGCGCAGCCGCACAGCCGTGGCCCCCACGCCCTCCCTCATGTCAGCCAGCAACGCGCACTCACAACCTCCAGGAGGTGACGCGTCACAGAAGGGCTTCATCGATTGTTTTCTCTAACGCTTTCCTGAATGCATCCTATGATCCGCACATCAGCCACCGTCTTCGAGCACGTCCTCACTACTGAGAACAGATACAGAAGAGAGAGAGCACCAGCCCCCATACTCGGTGCTGCAGCGAAGAGCGTAAAACACACGCACACACACACACGTTACGCATCCGCCCCCGGACTAGCGCGATACCTCGATAATCCGTTGTCGTCGATAATCGATAAAATAAAATAAAAGCAACAAACCAATCACCCAATCAATCTATGAATAATGGAAAGAGAAAAGGTATCTGCCAGAAGCATCCACGTTATGCCGCATCTGCAAGGTGTTTTGTGTCTTCTCGCCGCGTAAAGAGACTGTTGGGTCGGGGCCTTTACACCCCAAAAGGGAGAAAATGCGATAATTTTTCGTCAAGGGGAGCATCCTTACCTGTCCAGAAGGGCATAATTAATGCTGCAGCTCGCACTGGATGCACATTCCGGCAGGCTCATAGCGTCTGGGCGGGTGTCACCAGCCATGGGCTGCAACGGCACTGCGGGTGGCCGGTAAGAAGACGCGCCGGTGGCGCCTGAGGCGTACGACAATGTCGTTGCTTCGTGGAGCTTCCGCGTCTCTTCGCTCTCCTCGCCATCGCGCAGCAGCGCATCCAGTCCACCACGCCGAGGCTCGCGCAGCTCCCTCCAGTGGTGGTCCTCCGCATACCACACAACGACGCCGTACACAGTGACCGCAACCAGCACGATGGTCAGCAGCAGCACCATCGCCGCGTACGCCCTCGCACCGCCGTCGCTCGGCGCAAGATGGTTGGCCGCGCTCACCACGCACAGCGCCGCAAGCAGCACAAAACTCGCCGCGTGCATCACCGTCAGGAAGGCCGAGCGCATCATGTTCGTGAAGGCAACCACGCCCGCACCCGCAAGCAGCACTGCCGCCATGCAGAAGTACTGGACGTGGCAGCCTCCCACGGGCGGGTGCACAGCCGCAATCAGGCCCACCACACACAGCACCGACAGCTGGAACACGCACCAGTACGCGCGGCTGCCCCTCATGCTCGTCAGCATGCCGCCGTACATCCGCTGCTGCGCCGCGGGGTGCCAATACCCGACGGGGTACAGCAGGCGCTCGTGCAGCGGCTTCCTCGAAAACTGCCAGTACCTCGTGAAGCTCGCTCCCACGTGGCGAGCAATCAAGTAGCACACGCCAGCAGGGAACGCCACACCGTACAGCACG